GAAAACAAGTATAAACTGTTAAACTAAAACGTGAACTATGTGGACCAACAAGCACTTGAGAATTAACGATCTATGATTAGTTTCGGGTGAACTTTGTTTTAGCTGAAATCGCTTATAAAAAAAACAACATTTCTTATATTCAAAGGTAGTGTTATTTGGGATAAAGGCAAGGAAGGTTTTTGAACTGTGGTGAACACGTCATAAAGATGTTTATAGGCAGTTATATGTTATATAGCAAGTTATATGTTTTTTTTTTGCTAAAATACATTTTTTTTCAAGTAAATTTTGAAACGTTTCAAAGCACATAATCTCGTAAGATATCTAAGAAGTAATTTTTTGACACAGCGTATGGCTTAAATAGGTACGTTTTGTCATTTGCCTAGCTCTTTGCTTTGTAATTGAAGCTGTGTATGTTTAAGCCTATCTGATTGAACTATACATAATTAATTTTCGCAACAATAAACTCCCACAAATGTTTCGTGCGAAATCAGATTAAAATAGATTTTGCAAATATATTTATTCGTTTAAATTTTAATAATTATTGGTGGGCGATCGATAAATAGTCTCCATACCGATGAAATTATTCAGATTTCATCCCCGTTTTATTCAGGAAAATAAATTTCAAAATAAAATAGTAGGATATAATTGTCAGCTGACATTTCTGATAGAATTACCCTAGTTTCAATCGTTAATGTTGGCAGTAAGTTCATTACCGAATTTTTTGAGCACTCTATTTCACGGTCAGCTCTCATGTCAAACCAAACTAAAGAATTATATTTTTTCCTATATGTACGCGAGAAAAAAAAGTGATACCATTGAATACAGGTAGTTAGTGAAAGGGTTTGTGTGGCTCCAACACAATTTAGATTAAAATTAGGTTCTAGTAAGCTGGTGCCGGTGCCTTTATAGCCACAAACGTTTCAAAGAACCAAAAGCGCGTGTTGAACTAAATCGTGCGGATGTTCTCCGGTATTTCTCGTTTTTCCTTTTGGGTAATTTGTGAAAAATAAAGTAAAAAGCACCCGTAAAGGAAAAAAGGTTCTGAAAAACGACCGGCCTTTACCGGGGCTTTACATTAAAATATTAAAATTTTTATTCCATGTATTCCCTCTGTCCTTTTTTATCCGACTTACGCCAGAACTCTCATATTTTATTAATCTTAAAAATACGACTACACAAACATAACAAGATGGCGTATATATATTTTTTTATTTAAAAAATCTCAATATATTTTCGGTGAAAATATACCGGAGGCTTCACGCAAAAAGCGAAATAATAATTTTTCCCGTTTTTTTTTCTGTGAACGATAGATGGCCCTGCTATAGTTCGTGTCAACATATTTGTGAGAAGTATCTCAAAGATTGATGACGTTACCATGGTAAGTGTCTTTTTCACCAGAGAATGGGACTGACTATCTCTATTTGTGTAGTTGTGGATGGTAGTCTAGTTCATTCTATGAAAAAGTTTCAGGCCTTGTCAAATGTTTTCTTCCACAACTGATTCTTAGCACATTCGAGACATACATACAGTGTGACCCACTCAAGACCGGGCACCCTCCATAAAATCTGTGTTTATAGTTTATAGTCCGATTTTGATGATTTTTTTTTCAAATATAAAGTTTCAAAAAATGTACTTTAGGGCTCAATGTCATGTTATTTCACAAAAAACAAGGCCTACTTAATAAAGTTTTTGTGGTGAAAAATTTGCTAAATCATATTAGCGATTTTTTTTCAAAAAATTTGAGTACACCCCTACATTCGGCATCCCCCAAAACAGTTCTGTACCAAATTTCGTTTAAAAATATTAATTATTAATAATTCTGCAGTTAAATTAAATAATTCCCTATTTTGCCAATTTAACGATGAGTTATCAAGTAACCCTTGAAAAAAACAATCCACGATAACGAGTTTTATTACAAACAATGATAAAAATACTATAACCGAATAATAAGTTAAACATATTCAAATAATTCTAGTTGCTTCTACCAGCCCTCCATTCAGTTCAATACATTTGTCGCATCTTTTTCTTAGGTTAACAGTTACATTCCTAAGCTGCTGTGGTGTAATATTTGCAGACGCCTCTGTAATTCTAATACGTAATTCATCTACAGATTGAGGTCTAGACTTGTAAACTTGTTGCTTTAAGAAACCCCAAAGAAAGAAATCAAGGGTGTTAGGTCCGGGGATCTCGGTGGCCACTCAATTAGCGGGCTATTTCGACCTATCCACTTATTTTCAAAATTTTCATTTAACCATTCCCTGACAACTGCCGCGTTATGCACAGGTGATCCGTCCAATTGAAATTTTAAATTCAAACGGGTTTGGCATGGTAAATTATGTATTGCATCCCAAAAGTCATTAATCAGAAAATTCAAAAACGTTGGACTATTCAAATTTCTCTCAAAAAAATATGGACCAATGATTCTATCATCAAGTATGCCACACCACACATTTAATTTCTGAGAATACTGTCTTCTTGTATTGATCACCCATTCAGGGTTTTCGACTGCCCAGAATCGCGAATTTTGAGAGGATACTACTCCGTTTGTACTAAATGTTGCCTCATCACTAAATAAAATTTCTTTTAAGAAATTTCTATTATTTAAATACTCTGCTTGAGCCCATAAGCAGAATTCTAATCGTCTAACATCATCTCCGTTTTCCAAAGTGTGTAAAATCTTTGGTTTAAAGGGTTTAACTTTATTAGTTCGCAAACATCTCCTAATATTTTCCCTTGGTATATCCAAATCAACACTGGCGCCTCTAATGCTTGCACGAGGATTGTTACGAAAATATTCTAATATTTCCTCATTCCGCCTATTTATTCGATGTTCCGGCCTTCTGTTTTTTAGTAAGTATTTTGACACACAACCAGTTTCATTAAAAACTCTATTTATTCGTTGAACCGTGCTTCTACTTACTGCAGGTCTGTCGGGATGTCTGTTGTTAAATTCTCTGGCAGCTTCTCCTGCTTGAAGATAGTTATCACCCACTAAACGAATAATTTCAATTTTATCCCTAATATTTAATTGTTCCATAATGCAAATAATATTTCTTGATACAACACTTTTCTGCGTGCTATTAAATTAATATTCAATTCTACGCTGCAAGAATTGACAGCTAATAAAACCCATTGTTGTGGATTGTTTTTTTCAAGGGTTACGTGATAACTCATCGTTAAATTGGCAAAAATAGGGAATTATTTAATTTAACTGCAGAATTATTAATAATTAATATTTTTAAACGAAATTTGGTACAGAACTGTTTTGGGGGATGCCGAATGTAGGGGTGTACTCAAATTTTTTGAAAAAAAATCGCTAATATGATTTAGCAAATTTTTCACCACAAAAACTTTATTAAGTAGGCCTTGTTTTTTGTGAAATAACATGACATTGAGCCCTAAAGTACATTTTTTGAAACTTTATATTTGAAAAAAAAATCATCAAAATCGGACTATAAACACAGATTTTATGGAGGGTGCCCGGTCTTGAGTGGGTCACACTGTATATACATTTCAGTTTTTGTTTGTAGCAGCCAATGCGCTAAATGACTCGACTCTTTTACCATTATTTTGGCCTGGTATTTATCAGAAATGCATCATTTCGACGAAAACTCTAGTTACATGGAACTAAAACTAACCGAGACTAGGATAATCTAAATTTATTTTGTGCTTATTATAGTGGCTGTATTTGGTTATAGCCTATCGAAAAATTTTGCATTTATCTGTATTTTTTATTGAGCATATCTCAGATACAAGATAATTAACAATATGATAATGTGCAACAGGATTCCTAACAAAATTTTACCATAAATTCATTATTTTCAAGAGAATTATGTTAGGAAATTCTAAAATTATTGGTATTCAGCTTTCCGTAAACTTCTTTTTTTCCTTCTTTCTCAGCCTGGTTCCATCCAGGGTTGGATGTAGGCCTCTTCTAGGTTTTAAAGATCAATGAGCTTTATCATGTTGTTAAAAACCTTTTATTTGAGCTATATTTCATACTAAAAAAAAGAAACGAAAGATTTTGGAACCTGGTCTCATACTTTTACGGTTATTTGCTTGTCTTTTTTTGGTTAGAATATTCTGATTTTCTCACAAGTTGGACTGTTCTGACCGTTTCCCATCAAGTTAAATGAAATATATCCATACTTTACGAGCGAATATTTTGAGTTGGATGTGCTAGATTTGCTTATTTACTGCGTAAGCTGGGTTTACAACATATTTTTATTTTCTACCGAGACTCGTACTTTAGTATGAATAGATATAATCAATTTTATTAGTTTTTCCTATCATATTTCTCTTCTCCATATTCAATAAACTTTCATCTATTGAAGCAAGATACAAAACAAAGTGATATGCCTTTCTTCAATACCGTCATCTCATACCCATTCTTCGGCATACATGCATTTCAAATTTTGATTGCATTGGTAGTATAAGACAAGATTGAATGCCGGAGTCAGTTGTAACGAATGTTCAGCCCATTATCATCTTCAAAGTATTTAGAAAATCATCTGGATCTAGAAGATACATGTTAAAATATACTATTTGATTTAATGTAATTTTACACTGATAAAATTGCGTCTTGGTTTGTTTTATGTTATGGACCTAGGTATTTTTGTAAGAGCTTATGATGACAGATTTGATTAGATAAGTTGTAAAAAGGTTGAAGACAATGTCTGAAAATACCTAGGTCTTTTTTTATGAGGACAGTTTGAAAAGAAACAGGATGTGCTGTGGTGGTAGTCGGGCATGGCCATGCCAATTTCAGGTACATTCCGCCAATGCGAGATGTGATTGGCTACCCGAGACCATACCACGCCATTTGGAACTTAAATCACCACTGGCGCTTAATTTAGTCCATTCAATAGACTTGTTTACGAAATTTAAGCTCTAACCGAAATAAATCAAACAATATCCTGGTTTTATAGTAAACTAGGCTATTAATTGGACTAATTACAATCAGTAATTGCAACTTTTTTGATTTTCACACGCCATTGCAGGCGATAACCCAACCGTAGTTAGGATCAACATCTTCTTGCGATCTATCAGCAAAATTGACGATTATAAAATGGTGAGTGTGCGGTCTTGCCAGTCATGTCAAGTATTGATGAAAGAGCAGATAAGTATATTCAAACTTATGAACACGGCTTTGTATATAACGCCCCACAAAACCAATTTAATAAGTGTATTTTCAAAAGCACCTTCACTAACGGTTTGTACCATAGACTTAAAATAAAATATAGACTGAGCATCTCATTCATAAATAGCTGGAACATGCGGTCAGACAATATCTTGTTATAGTTGTGTTATTGTTTTAGGTTATAACGAGTGCGACACGAGCGATAGATAGGTTGTCTCTGTCGTAACGGTCGTTCCCTGACGACTCTGCCGAGAAACACAACACTGTCTTTCGTTTCTCAAGTACACCTGAACTCTCCGTCTCATAGCCGGGTAATTTTTTTATTTTAATGAAGCTATAATTAAATTAAAAATATATCGTATTTAAACTTTTTATATTTTATTAAGATTTAGGACAGGTTTTTAAATAAAAGTTTAGAAAAACGTCTTAGAGTCCAAAAAGGATAAAAATAATAAAATACACGTTATAGAAGAAATTTTATAATCGAAATTACGTAATTTTGAAATTAATAATAAATTATTAATTTAGTCAAACATTTACAACCCCTAATATTAATGAAAACAGGATCTATTCCACAGATATAATAGAATCGGCGACAGAGAGAGAAAAAAAAATATGATTGTTGTAATTTTTTTTCTGGTTAAGTGATGTCTTATTATGTAAAATAGAGAAAACATAAATCTGTTCCATTAAAGCAAGGAAGGTGATAGGAAGGGGATAAAATGAAAACTACATTTATTTAACTCGGTACTGTCTTTATTATACCGGGTGCGTCCCAAAAGTGGCTCAACCCCATAATTTTTTTATATTTTCAAATAAAAAAACAAGATTTAGTATGTTAGTATATGACATAAATTAGGATTGATTGACGCATTCAATTGTTTTTGGTCACTTTCTGTTTCACCGGAAATGACTATAACTTTTAATTTTTAAACGGCACCCTCGGTATATTTCTACTTTATTTGATAGAAAATGACACTCTGAATAGAATGACATATCATATGTCAACTTTTGACACTTTCGCATATGGTTTAATTGTAATTGTAACACGTGGTTCATAACGACAATTTGACTCGAAATACCAAGTGTGTGGTATCAATATATTCATAAAAAAATGCTTTTTCCAAATATGCTAACGAGTCACCCTTGTTCCATTTGAAAAAATTGACATATGTATGATTAAAAATATGATTTGTACATCTTTTAATCGGCCTAGACAAGACACGAAACCCATTAGACGATCAAAACTATTTTTCCAAGGCTCCTTGATTAAAACTTAGTGTTTTTAACAACACCATGGCACCCTGGATTGAAATTTATAATACGATTTGTTTTTAAGCGACAATGTCAAAAGTTGACATATGATATGTCATTCTATTCAGAATTCTATTATCATTTTCTATCGAATAAAGTAGAAATATACCGAGGGTGCCTTTAAAAATCAAAAGATGTAATCATTTCGGTGAAACAGAAAGAGACCAAAAACAATTGAATACGTCAATAAATCCTAATTTATGTCATATACCTACTAACATACAAATCTGTTTTTTTATCTGAAAAAATAAAAAAGTTATAGCGGTGAACCACTTTTGAGACGACCCGGTATATTAAAAAATATTGTCTCATAATGTAATATCATATTAAAATTCTTGTATGTTATTTTAGATTCTGAAGATAATTTTAGAATAAACCGGAATATATTTTTAATAAAAACATTATTAATTATTAACAGGGTTATAATTATGATTTTGTTACAATGTAAGTAAGTAAATAATGTAATATAAGAGAAAAAATTCAGATTTTACATTTTACTAAAATATTATCTAAATAAGCGCCTTTCTACAACAACGCCACTGACTCCCAATGGGTAAATTGAGTTGCCTACCGGTCAAAGTCGTTTCAAGACTTAAAAGGATTATTTAAGTCAAATTTCTTTGCAAATTTGGCACTGGCAGGCTTTCCCATATTTTACTAGTTTTTGAACAGAAAAAAGTCAATAAAATAAACACTTAAGGACTACAAGCTAAGAAAATGCGTTTATACAGCCGGGAGATAGCGGCAACAAAGCTTTACCGCACGTGCGACACGTTACCTACAAGGTAATAAATGAATGAATAGGCTCCCTCGCCTCTAATCGGTGTTGTCATATTGTAAAGAACTTATCCTTATTAAACAGTATCCCACTTATAATTTAGTAGTATAAGGACTATTTAATACATCTATGGAATATTATAACCTACTTTATTAAACTGTAGTATTAATATCTCAATATATGGGTATAACAAGAAAAAAAATATTGATAATATTAAAAACGTGACAACATAGGCTGGATGAGGAAGGCTCGGTCGACTGTACCCAGAAGTAAACATGTGTACAAAAAAGGTTGTTTGTCCGCGTTGAGATGTAAATAGTGTAGTCTATATTTTTTTTAAGTCTATGGTTTGTACACAGAATGTTACAATTATCTTCCTCGTTTCATTTTCTGCAATACCTTAGTCATATATTGCTACCAAAATTATGTCACCATCAAGAAGAGTTTCCAAAAGCACTTTTCATTCCTTTCCATATATCATATCTTTTCAGCAAACAGCTAAACATTTTATATTCAGAATTGTTTTCATGGTTGTAGCAACTGTATTAAAAAAATAATAAGTACTAATATTAGTAACAATAGTTGATTGTGAAAAATTATCAACTAATCTAAATGTAGTGAAGTAGATGATTGGTTGGAATTAACGTTGAGTGTGTTAAATAAAATTATTTACATCTGGGTAGTGATGATTCTGTTTTAAATTACAGCAAATATGAAGAATTAGGGTACGGTTTCAAAATAAATGGAAGCCTAACATAATTTTCGAACTTTATAGAGTTTTGATTCTAATTTTGTATGTAATATTATTAATGTTGCCCTTTAAACAAGTGAAATCTTGTTATTGTAATATAACTATAAGTAGATACATCGTGTTATTTTATTATCATTTATGTATAGCAGCAAATATTACATTAAAATCTAAATTTATTGAAAACGAAACACAATTAGGCCCTACTAAATATTAATTTTATCGCTACGTGGAATTACAAATACATTTTATTCGTTTTAGAGTAAATTTGGAGTAAATGGAATTTTTCGAGAGGTGATTTTTAATTATATTTTGTAAAAGCAAACGAAAATCAATTAATTAATCAGTCAAAATTATCTTGTACAAATTGAAAAGGAAACTCGATATGATTCAAAAATATTTCGAAGGCAAAGAAGTTTTAAATTGGGCAAATTCTGGAGTATTTTATGATTAAAGCGTAAGTGTATTTGAATTACTTTATTGTTTGTTACTTTTGTAAGTTTAAATTGAAGTTGCTATAAACATGATTATCCAATATACATTAAAACGTCTTAAACATATAGAAAAGGTTATATTTCTAAACTAAATTTTATAGAGAAAACCAGAAAACAGCTTTCATACACCTGCTGGTCACTGTTTCACTTAGCTTAGCTATCACATATGCATAATTATTGTTTTATTGTCAATTGAGTCTCAAACAAATTTCATTGTATTCTTTTATACAATACAGGGTGGGCCACTGAAAACTTACAATGGCTATAATTTTTAAACCAAAAAAGATATAAAAAAAAATAAAAAATACCGTTTCTATAATACCGAGGGGGAATACATATGACGTATTTTTTAAACCACCCCGACCTACCCCTTAGGCTGCACCCCTACTCACTTGAAAATCTTAAAATGGCAATACCCCACTTGTGGCGCCTTTTTGGAAAGCCCATGAAAAATGCTAAACGATGATTAAAAAACTACCCCTTACACGAAAAATTAGGTGGATATTAATGAAAAAACGGATTTTTTAGCATAAGTTACAAATTGGGACCCAGCTAAATGAGGCAAATAAGGCATTTTTCAAACCACCCTGACCCACCCCTAGGCCATTGTAAATGAGGTTCAAAATCAAAGAGATTTGAAAGGAAATTTAACTCTTAATGAAGACCTCATACACTTTCAGTAAGATAGGGCCCCTCCGCATTATTCTATTGTCACAAGGCGGTGGTTGGATAGATATTATCCAAAGCAATGTATTGGCAGAAGCGGTCCAATCGAGTGGCCGCCAAGGTTACCTGATATCACTCCTTTATAGACTTTTTCTTGTGGGGTTACACTAAATCCATAGTCTACAAGATAAAACCAGGTTCGTTGCAAGAATTACGACAGAGGATAACTGAAGCATGTCGAAATATTCCGTGAGAGACTTTCCAAAAAGTGAGAGAAGAATTTGAAAATCGTTTGTATTTTGAGCAATTGTTAAAATAAATTATCATTTTAAATTTCTTTCAAATTGTCACACCTACATTTCTTATCACTACTTACCAGTAATTAAGTTGAAGTCTGTATGACCATCGTTTAGCAATTTCAATTAGCTTTCCAAAGAAGTGTCACAAGTGGGGTATCGCTATCTTGAGATTAGAAGTGAGGGGGTGCCACCTAAGGGTGGGTGGGGGTGTTCTGATAAACACCTCATTTGCCTCATTTAGCTGGATCCCAAATTGTAACTTATGCTGAAAAAATCACTTTTTTCATTAATGTCCACCTAATTTTTCGTGTAAGGGGTAGTTTTTCAATTTCACCCTAAAAACTTTATAATCATCGTTTAGCATTTTTTATGGGCTTTCCAAAAAGGCGCCACAAGTGGGGTGTTGCCATTTAAGATTTTCAAGTGAGTAGGGGTGCCGCATAAGGGGTAGGTCGGGGTGGTTCAAAAAATACGTCATATGTATTCCCCCTCGATATTATAGAAACGGTAATTTTTATTTTTTTGATATCTTTTTTGGTTTAAAAATTATAGCCATTGTAAGTTTTCAGTGGCCCACCCTGTATAGCACCATACGTGAATAAAAAAGTTCATAAAAATAGCAGGGCTATTTA